AAAGGACAGAGGAAGGAAGGAAGGAAGGAAGGAAGGAAGGAAGGAAGGAAGGAAGGAAGGAAGGAAGGAAGGAAGGAGAGGTAAGGCATGAAAGAATAAAGGAGGGAAGGAGAGAAGGAAGGAAGGAAGGAAGGCAGGCAGGGAGGAAGGAAGGAAGGAAGGAAGGAAGGAAGGAAGGAAGGAAGGAAGGAAGGAGAGCTAAGGCATGAAAGAATAAAGGACAGCGGAAGGGAGGTAGAAGAGAGGAAGGAAGGGAAGAAAGATGGAAGGGAGAGGTAAAGCAATGAAAGAATAAAGGACAGAGGAAGGGAGGGAGGGAGGAAGGAAGGAGAGGTAAGGAATGAAAGAATGAAGGAGGGATAGAAGAGAGGAAAGGAGGAGGAAGGAAGGAGAGGTAAGGCATGAAAGAATAAAGGAGGGACAGAAGAGAGGAAAGGAGGAAGGAAGGAGGGGTAAGGCATGAAAGAATAAAGGAGGGAAGGAGGGAGGTAGGGGAGAGGAAGGAAAGAGAGTTAAGGCGTGAAAGAATAAATGAGACACGGAGAAAGGAGGGGAAGGGGAAGGAGGGAGGGAGAGTGGGGGAAGCAGTAAGGCATGAAAGAATGAAGGAGGGAGGGGAAAAACAAAAACAAAACGAATGAAGCCAGGTGGAAAGGAAGGGAGGCAGGCAGGCAAAGATAAACCAGGAAGAAGAAAGGAAGATAAGGAGGAGGAGAGATAAAAGCAGAATCGGAGAAAGAGGAGTAACCGGCAGAGAAGCAACGAAGACACAACAAAAGTTTTGTTTTTGGCTCAGCCGTGAGAATCTCATCTCCAGCACTCGGCAAACAATCTGTGTGTTTGGGTTGCCTTGTGCACCTGCGAATGTGGGACCCAAATCTCACAATTTAGAATCAGAGTGGAGTTGGAAGGGACCTTGGAGGTCATTTAGCCCAACCCCCTGCTCAACCAGGAGGCCCTATATACCACCTCAGACAATACACCCTCTCCAAACGAGAGACCACCTCCCCCACCCCAGATACCCTTTCCCCCCCCCACTCCCACCTGTGCAAGGCTCAGGGATGACATCGCGCTCCTTCGCACTCGGCTCCGGGACGCTGGGTTCGGGGGCCACCCGCTCGGCCCTGGGGTGCCCCTCCGGTTTGGCGACGTTGATGTTGGCACCTGGAAAATGGGGGGAGGCAATCAAAAAGGCTTCCTGAAAAGGGGTCTCAGCTCCCCCCATTGGCTTTCCCTACCTCACAGGGTCGGCGTTGTGACCTGAAAAAACCCTCCGGTCCAGCAGTACAGTGAATCCTCGACTTACGACCATGACAGGTGCTCCCGTTGATAAGCGAGACAGGTGCTAAGGGAGTTCCGCCCCATTTACGACCTGTTTTAAACTTACGAGCACGCCGGAGCACAAACTTCCTCTCACTAAGTAAGACGGTTGTAAAGGGAGTTTTGCCCCATTTTACGGCCTTTCTGGCCACGGTCGTTAAGTGAGTCCCTGCAATTACTGAAGTAATCTCACAGTCGTTCAGCGAATCTGACTTCCACCGTGACTTTGCTCCTCAGAAGTTCGCAAAAGAGGAACAAGTGACACAGAAACCGTCATAAATATGAGTCAACGGCCAACTGTGTGACTGTTGGGGATGCCACAAGTGAGAAAAACAAGTGAAAAATTCCCTTTTTTTGTGCCGTAACTTCAAACGGTCACTAAATGAACAGTTGTAAGTCGAGGACTACCTGGAATATGGCAAATATTCCCAAAGTGCACCTTCAGGTAGTCCTTGATTTACGACCATTCGTTTAAGTATCCCGCTGATCTTCCTGGGGTGAAAAAAAAAAGACTTAGAACTGGTCCTCGTACTTACGACCGTCGCAGCATTCTTGGAGTCACCAATTGCCATTTAGGCATTTAGGCTCCTATTTACAGCAGAGTCACACGATCATCATTTGCGACCTTAAAATCGAATCGAAGGGCAGCCAAACTCACTTAACGGCCGTGTGCTTCACTTAACAACGGTAGTGATTCACTTAACAACCGCGGGCAAAAAAGCGACACAATCGAACTGCAATGTTTAACAATGGACGTTCCGATCCCAATCGGGGTTGTAAGTCGAGGACTAGCTGTAAAGACAGATAAAAGACCGGCAGGCTGCCGATTAACCTGGTTTATACCGAGTGCTAGCAAGGATTCGTAGTTCTCCTTCAGAAGGTTGTTGTAGAGGTCTTTCTGCCAATCAGCCAAATTCTTCCACTCTTCAGCGGAGAAATAAACCGCAATGTCCACGAACGTAACCGGCATCTGCAAATAAAATTAAAGTGAAAACAAGAAGGGCTAAAAGGAGACTTTCGCACCCAGACCCCGAATTTGTTGCACCTTCCCCCATCACGAAGTCACGTTTCCAAATGGCCACTGCTCTTGGCTCCTCCCTGAAAAACTTGGCAAAAAAAGATGAAGGAAAAAAAACCAGACGTCCTTCCGAAGTTTATTTTTTTTAATTTACATTTTTTTAAAAATTCTATTTTAATTTTTTTAATCTGTTTTTAATTTTTCTAAGTCCCTTTAAAAAAAAAAAAAAATTAAAGGTGGTTTCCTTGCTAAAAATAATTACCCAAAGTGAAATTAATTGCCAATCCAACTGATCCAACATTCACAACTTCTGTTCCACTGAGAACAATTAATCCAGAAGTTGTGAATATCTTTAAGAAGATGTTAAGTAGCCATTTGTCTGAAACGGTATCGGGTTTCCTGCCTAGGCAGGGGGTTGGACTAGAAGACCGCCAAGGTCCCTTCCAACTCTGCTATTGGATTGTATTGTATTGATAAGGAGAAAAACATACGTTTTGGCCTTTTTTCTTTTCAGCTTCCATTTTAATTTTTAAAGTTCCTTTATAAAATTATTATTTTTTTTTGCTCTTTTTAAGATGATTGTTTTGCTCCCTAAAAGGTTTGCTAAAAGTAAATTCATCAGAAATCCAGTGTTGGAACGATAAAGAAGGAAAAAAATATATGATTTTTTCCCCCTTTTCTTCCTACTTTGTAGTTTTAATTTTTCTAAGTCCCTTTTTTAAAGGTGATTCTTCTTATTTAAAAAATACCAAATGTGAATTCAGTTGTAAATCCTGTCACAATTTGGAAATAGAAAAATAGAAGACACTTTAAAATATATATATATATCTACATACACACACACACACACACACACATATATATATATGTTATATTTGTGCTGATAAATAAATAAAGGGAGACTAGTATAGATCTATTTCAAGCTATTTAGCTCTCATCACCTTNTCGGCTCTCTTTTGCGACCTTCTGACCAGAAAAGTCCAAGGGGAAGCTGGAATCACTTAAAGACTCTGTTCCTAACTTAAATGGCGGCAGTGATTCACTGAACAACAGGGGGAAAGGAAGGTCATAAAGCAGGGCGAAACGCCCCTTAACGGACGTCTGTGACTTTAGCAACGGGAATCCTGGGCTCAACTGCAGTGTTAAGTCGAGGACGTACAGCACCCCACTGACGGGGCGAGTCGGTGTGGGACTTACCCGGGCCCCCATGCACAGGGAGGGTCTCCCTTTCCGACGGGTCCCACTGATGTCGGACACAAGAACTCTCCTCTTGCTTAATCCAGGATAAGAAGTCGTGGGCAGACATGAGGCCCTGGGCACCTGCGGGAGAACAGAGGGGATATGCTGGATTCACATTTCTGGGGTCCTCCCCCCTGCTCCCCAAAAAGGCAGAAGGGGACAAAGCCCAGAGAAACCCACCACAGCCCCAAGACCACCCAAGTAGGACCACCACCCCCGAGGTGTCAGCACATGGAGCCATTGGCCTTCTGCATTCAATTCACACAGGTAAACTGAGCAATTCTCTCCCTTGGCAACTTTAAGAGGGGTGGGCTCCAACTCCCAGAATCCCCCAGTCAGCATCCTTGAAGACAGACTCCAACTCCCAGAATCCCCCAGTCAGCATCCTTGAGACTCCAACTCCCATAATCCCCCAGCCAGCATCCTTGAAGACAGACTCCAACTCCCATAATCCCTCAGCCAGCATCCTTGAAGAGAGACTCCAACTCCCATAATCCTCCAGCCAGCATCCTTGAAGAGACTCCAGCTCCCATAATCCCCCAGCCAGCATCCTTGAAGAGAGACTCCGATTCCCATAATCTCCCAGCCCTCTCCCTCGCCCATCACCTGCGCACGGATCCGCCACCAGGCCTCTGTCCTCGGAGAAGGGGCCTCCCCCGCTGAACGCCCCCTCCTGCTTGATGCGTGTCAGGATATCCGGCGTGGAGGCCAAGGGTCCTGGGTTCGAGGGAGAGAAGGGGAAGAGAGACGGGGGGGGGCGCAACTTGGAAAAACGCAGCCTGGGACCCACCACCATCACCCACCACGGGGCGGAGGGCACCAGCCAGCCCCAAACCCTCCTCGGCTCAGAAATGCACCCCGTTTGGGTGGGGTGGGCAGGAGAAGGAGGACTGGGAAGGGGGTGGGCGTCCTTCCAGCGATGGTGGAGCTAGAATGGGTGGGTGCCGGAGGGGGTGCGCATTTGGGGATGGGCAAGGCTGAATGTGGGCAGAGGGAGCTGCATGAAGCAATTGTGGTTTTATTCAATGGTTGGTTGGAAATGGGGGGGCAGGTCCTGGGGAAGGAAGGAAGGAAGGAAGAAAGGAAGGAAGGAAGGAGGGAGGCAGGNGGACACGTGTCCTGGAAGACCCGGGACCCCTGCGCTGCCACCCAGCTCCATCCCCCCACCCCCCCGTTTTGCCTGGCTGAGCTCTGCCTTCCCCCATCCCAGTCCCGACGATGCCGCTTCACGCGTGTCCCGGTGGCCCAATGCAACCCAAGGAGTTGGAGATCCGCCTTCCCAACCAAAGAGACCCCAGGGTGCGGATCTCCTCTTGGCCCCCCATCCCAACCCCTGATGTTTGGACAATCCAGGTATATTGGAAACCCTGGCCCAGATGCAGCCCAGCGCGCAGCTAGTCCTCGACTTACAACGGTTCATTTAGTGACCAAAGCGACAGCCGTGAAAAAAGGGACTTAGGATCGTGTTTCACCCTTACGACCGTTGCAGCATACCCAGGGCCACACGCTCAAAATTCAGACGCCTGACCAGTGACTCATACTGACGACGGAGGCAGAGTCCCTGGGGGGGGGTGATGTGATTCCCTTTTGCGACCTTCCGGCGCCAAAAGCAAACGGAGAAGCCAGATTCACTTAACGGCCGTGGAACTAACTTCACAGGCACAGTGATTCGCTTAACGACTGTGGCAACAAAAGCCACGCAATGGGACAATGGCTCACCACAGATGTCTCACTTAGCAACAGAAATGTGGGGCTCATGTGTGTTTTGTAAGTCGAGGACCTACCTATAGCTGGGGATTTTGCCTTCCCAGCCAAAGCAGGTTGTTTTCCTCCTCCCTTCCCTCCGGGGACCGCTTTCGAATCCGACCTCCTAGCCTCTACCCTGTGAATTCCTGGTGGTCCCCCATCCGATTTCCCAGGTGCGTCTTTGCATCTCCTTCCAGCCAAGTAGATTTTTGGAGAGGATCTCCTCTTGGTCCCCCATCCCATCTTTTTCTCTCACCCATTTGCTCAGCCGGGTGATGCCAATGGGTTTCCTGCTTCCCACCGCCGCCCTGGGATACCCTGGTGGTGCCCCATCCGATTCCCAGCCATGTCCTTGTGTGAAATCCACACATCCGCAGAGCCCCCTGCTTTCCATGTTTTTTTTTGGGGGGGGGAAGCAAAGCTGGTTCAGCTCAGCTTGATTGAACCCCATCTTGGTCTTCCCAGCCCCTGGCGAGGATCTCCTCTTGGTCTCCCCATCTCGGCTCAAAGCTTTTCCTTTGTTCTTCCAGCCAGGAGATGCAGGTGAGTTTCCTCCTGCCTCTTTCCAGGTTGGGAAAAGAGGGTGGGCTTAACTCCCCCTCTGAACCGTGTGCCTTGAGATTTCCTGGTGGTCCCCTGTCTTTGATTCCCAATCAAATCCTTGTATGAAATCAAACCCTAACCTTGTGCCCCAAGACACTTCACCTATGCTTTGGCTGGAAGCACGTTTGAAGGGGGGCAAAATGACCCCACCACAGCCCACTGAAGTCAACCCCTTTTTCCAGGGTGGGTTCCCCCTTCCCAGCCAAATCTAACATCCCATGGATTTCCTGGTGGTGCCCCATCCCATTTCGCTCGCTTTTCTTCTCCAATCTGTTTGATGGATTTTCTTTCTTCTTCCCATTTCGGAACCAGCCTCGCCCTCAAAGAGACACCAGGGGGGGGGGCATCCTCCTGTCTCCTTCTTCCTCCTGCTTTTGAGCCCCCCACTCCTTGTCTGCAGCCCTCGGATTTCCTAGTGGTGCCCTATCCAATATCCAACCAGCTGGTGTGAAATCAATTCCTCCACTGAGATATTCACAGGGAGGTTTCTTCTGTTTTGAGGGGCGGTGGGGAGGGGGCATGGATGGGATTTCCCTGCCTCTGTTGGGACCCTGATCTTGACCAGATATTTATGCATATTGATAAAGATTAAAAAAAAAACATGTGTATTTTTTTTTTCAAGGATTGTCTAGGAAAGAAAAGTTAGTAAAATTAGATTTTCCCCTGCAAGCTCAGTGGCTAAATTTCACGGATGCGGCAAAAATAGTTTCCATGATCTGCATCCTTCTTAGACCACTGACTCTAATTCAGACCCAGAGATCTCTGAGTGGCTTCCCATCCCAGGCAACCCAGATTCAACCCATTTTGGATTTTTTTTGAGGTTTTATAAAAATAAGCTCTGGGCGGTTTGTCTTGATGTCCTGAAAGATCCAAAGTTGAATTCTCAGCAGCATTTCCTACATGAACACACAAAGACATATATAAGCTATCTTTATATTTGACTCCCAGAATCCCCCAGCTGGTGTGATTTAAGAGGGGGAGACCCTCACTCCCAGAATTCTGGGAATTGAAGTCCATGCATCTCTTAGTTGCTAAGCCGGCTAGGGAATTCAGGGAGTTGGAAGTCATCTACAGCTCTTAAACCCGCCAATATTGTGAAACACCAGAACTGAATATTGTGCTTTTTTTTTGACAGATGAATAAGAAATGAATAAATTCATAAAGCTGCAGGGATTTTAAAGCCGGGTATTAAATTAGTGCAAATCATTCAGGTTGCATTTGGTTCTATTTTTAAAATCATTGCCCTTTGACTCCTGTAAATTTACCCCCCCTTTTTTTTCCCTAAGGCAATGATTTTGCAATGAAACTTTAAAAAGCTTTCAATTAAATCCGTTCCTATTGCAACATTTATGGGAGGAAACTTGGAATCCGTGGCCCAAAGGTCAGCAAACGGCCTGTTCTGCAGGGTTTCCAAACCCCTTTAGCCTTTTGGCGGAGCAAGAAAGGCCGGTGGAACGCCTAGCGACTCTTCCCAGCCTTTTCTCACCCCGCTCTAGCGAGGAAAGAGTTAACCCCACGAGGAGGGGCGGAGTTCAGGGGGCGTGACGCGATTGGCTGCCGCTTTTCATCCGGCGCGACGCTGCCTCGCCGACAGCGGATCCGGCGGAAAGTTGTTCGGCAGCGACACCTGCCGGCAGGGACTGAACATCGCGCCTGCGCGGAAGACACCAGGGAAGGTAAACGCCGGTTTAAGGATGGGTGAAAAAAGCCTTCTGCAACTCGGCGCCCGCGGGCGGTAAACCGCATTATTCTTGCAATGAGAGCATGATGGGAATTATAGCCGACAACCTGGCAGGCAGGGCTTAAAATTCCATGCCCCAAGTGGAACTGGACTGCAAAGCAGCTTACACACACACACACACCTTTCCCCCAGGGGTAGCCGCATATTTCTTGCACCCCAAGAACGTTGAGTGCCTGGAGGCAGGAAGCCCCCTGCTCCTTCCCCCTCCTTTTTTTCTTCGCAGTTGCAAGACCAGGAGAGGTGGGGGGGGGGGGATACATGCATTAAGCATGACTGTGCATGCTTGGGAAGTTAAGCAGTGTCCACTCGGGATAGGATTAAAATGGGCGACAAGCTCATTCTGGGCTCCCCAAACTCTGTGGCTCATGGACCCTTGCCATTAAGTGTCAGCCTCAAACTTAAAAACACAGAAGTGATTAATTTCACAACAGTGGCAAGAAGGGTCGTGAAGTTGAATTTAGATAACCCGGAAGGTTTTTAATTAGAGACTGGGCAGTCATTTGCCAGAAATGAGTGTTTCCTACCTGTGCAGAGGGCTGGATTAGATGACCTCTAAGCCCCCAAAGTGCTGTCAGGCCCGGAAGCCAAATTTTGCACTGGGCCTTCCACATCCAATGCTGTGGGAAACTGAGAGGGTGGGAATTATATGGAGTAGGGGGAGATAGTCATAACAACATTCCTTCCTCCGAGAGTCAAGGACATCTTGCCCTGCAGCTTTGATGGTGTGACTGGGAAGCATCTCCAGTTGGGACAGTGGGTTGATTGGACCATGTGATGGACATGTGGGTTACTGGGGAAGGGTCTTGGAACTTTCAACTGGGTGGGGAAAACCTGGAGACTTTCAGATTCAGGTTTTCCCAGATGTGCCAATATGATATCTTTAATAAAATGGAACTTTTGAGGAAACTCAAAGTCTCGGAGTCTTCTTTCATTGGGGGTGTTCCTTGGAACCCTGACACAGGGATTGTTATAAAGCAAATGAAAAAAATGATTGAAATTTAACATTATGCAAAAAAAAAGCATCCTCGAGTTATGACAAGGGAGCCCAAACCTTCCACTGCTAAGTCAAGTGTCAAGAGAGTTCTGCCGGGCTTTAGACTTTCATTGCCTCGGTCGTTAAGTGAATCACTTCGGTTGTTAGGTCAGTCACACCGTGGTTAAGTGAATCCAGCTTCCCTGTTGATTTTACGTGTCGGAAAGGCACAAAAGGGGAATCATACGACCTTGGGACACGGCAACCGTCATAAATGTGAATCGGCGACCAAGTGCCTGAACTTTCATTGTGAAGTGTGAAAAAAAGAGCCACAAGTCACATTGTTGAGTCCCACTGCAACTTTAGTCACTAAATGAATGATTTTTTAAGTTGAGGACTACCGTTGTTCTCAATGTAGGACGACTCATTTAGTGCCCATCCAAAGTTAAAATGGCACTGAAAAAAACCCGAGACTTGGGAATCTGTGAGATTTGCTGTGTCCACTAGGGGGCAGCAGCAAACCAAGTAATGGGTGATTTGGGGATAAGTAGATGAAAAAAATACCGCCAGTCCTCGACTTACAACCACAATTGGGCCCCAATGTTTGTTGCTGAGCGAGACAGCTTTGAAATGGGTTTCTCCCTCATTTGACGAACTTTCCTGCCTCCGTTGTTTAATGAATCATTGCAGAAGTTAGGTTGTTAAGTGAATCCTGCTTCCCGTGGACTCTATTTGCCAAACGTTACCCAGTTGTCCTGTACTTACGACAGTTCACTCAGTGACCATGGTGATGAAAAAAAGCGACTTAGGACCGTGTTTTGCACTTACGACCATAGCAGAGTCCCCCTGGTGATCAAAATTCCAACGCTTGGCAACCGATTCGGATTTATGACAGGCGCGGTGTCCCCAGAGGTCCCATTATCTCCCTTTTGCGACTGTCTGATGAGCCAAGTCAACGGAGGAAGCCATATTCATATAATGGCCTAACAACTGCAGTGACTCACTTAACAAATGTGGCAAATAGTCATAAAATGGACCCAAACTCAACATACCTTACTTAGCAACATAACTTTGCAGCTCACTTGAGGTTGTAAGTCGAGGACCTACCAGTAACACAGTTGTTAAGTGACTCTGTCTGCCCCCATTGACTTGGTTTGTCAGAAGATTGCAAGAGGGGATTATTTGACCCTGGGGAATGCCACAACCGTCGTAAATACGAATCAGTTGACAAGTGTCGGCATTTGGATCACGGGGATGTTACGATGGTCGTAAGTGTGGGGAAACGGTCATGTCTTTTTTTTTCACTCCCGTTGTCACTTTGAATGGTCATTAAGCAAACAGTCGTAAATCCAGAACAACCCAGGAACTTCTGGCAAGGAGACGCATTGGGAAGACAGGTTCACTTAACAACGTAGCCACTTGCCAATGGCCAAGCAACTGAATTTGGAACATGTAACTGCGGAGACCCTGTGACGGTCGTAAGTGTGAAAACAGTCCTAAATCGCTTTTTTCAGTGCCGCTGTAACTTGGAACGGCCTCTAAATGAACAGTCGTACATCGAGAACTACTTTTAATGTGAAAAAAAGGCAGTGGCAATCATAGCCTTCAGCCAAGGAAACCAAATAAATCAAGTCCTGTCTATCACCCAGGAATTTATTCTCTGCCAAAGTTAGAATTTTGTTATTTGATTATTAGGAAGGGAATCCCAGGTCAGAGACTAAGCTCAATCCCTTCTACAGATCTTCTCCAAGGGACGACGATTCATTTAATGACCGTGCTGAAAAAAGGGACTTAGGGCTGCGTTTCACACTTATGACCGCAACCCCCTGGCGATCAATGCTTTGGCAACAAACTCATATTTACGACAGGTTCAGTGTCACATGATCCCTTTTGTGACCGTTTGATGAGCCAAGTGTCAGGCCTGCATTTATATTCCTTTTAGAATTTTGGCCTGCCACACTTTCTCTTATTTCATTACGCTGTTTCTTTAGTACAGTCGATGGGAGGGGGGAATAGAACAAGTAGGATTGTGGAATGTATTGTCTTTCATTCTTTACTAGAAGCCAAGGTCATCCTTTTGTCTCCGCACTTTCACACCTGACCGGAAGCAGCTGGGTGGAGACGCCAGCATGGAAGAAAAAAATTGGACCATGTGATGGACTGTGGGTGTGGGGACAAGATCGTGAACTTTTAACTGGGTGGGATTCTGATGTAACTTCCAGAGTTGGAATCCCACAGCACGATGCCAACATGCCTGCCTTATTAAATTGGAACTTTTAAGCATAGTTTTGCCTTCGACTTTGATTTAATTCTGCTTGGTATTTGGAACGCTGACACCAAGTTCACGGAGAGCCAGATTCGCTTAACGACTGTATAAGGAAAACTAGTGATTCGCTTAGCGGCAAGCCAGGTCATAAAATCGGGACAAAATTCATGTAACAACTTGTTAATGGTTAGGAATGAAAATCTGGGGTGCTATTGTGGTCAAAAATTGCGGACTTCCTGTATACTGGCCATGATACCACAGCCCATGTGATGACCGGCGGAAAGCCACTTTTTTCAGTGTTGTAACATCCAATGGTCACTAAATGAATTTTAGGTGCAACTGTGGTCGTTAAGTCGAGGACCTGCAGAAATGATGACCCTCTCTCTTATATACGGGTAGTCCTCAACTTACAACCGTGATGCAGTCCAAAATGCCTTGCTAAGCAAGACATTTGTGAATTGAAATAGGTTCCGTTTTAAGAACATTTTTTTTGCCTCTGTTGTTAAATGAATCCCTGCACCCGGCGAGAAACACGGTTGTTCAGTGAATCCGGATTCCCCGTTGTCGGAAGTTCACAAAAGGGGGATCATGTGCAACCTCCATGAAGAGGGATTAATTGCCAAACTTCTGAATTTTGACTATGGGGGATGGCACGCATCGTCGTTAAGTGTGACAAACGCCTGCTCGGTTACTTCCTCCGAGGATGTTAACTTTAAAAAAAGCGTCACTCAATGAAGCGTTGTAAGTCGAGGACTAGATCTACAAGGCCAGGAAGCAAGGATGAGTAATCCTTTACTTATGATTTCGCTCCAGTCTACTTCAACGCGAAGAGGAGGAAACATGCTTGGTGGGTAGTCAAGTTGGCCACACCCAGGTCAATGACCAGCCCCCAATGAAACTGACTTTGACACGCCTGTTGTAGGGGTCTCCTGCTTTTATTACTTTTATTTTGTATAAGTTTCATTCGCAGTTTTAACAACCAACATTTCGTTTCGTGGACATTGTAATTAACTGGGTTAACATATTTTTTTCACACAAGTGTTCACAGTAATAATACAGTTACATATACAAAAAAGAAAAAGTTTTTTTTTGTTTTTTTTCCAACTTCTAACCTTTAATGTGATCGTTATAGTTGTAATATATTCGCTTATATACTTATTAACTCCTCTAACGTTTCGATATTATAAGATGTCACTCAAGTCTTCCGCCATTTCCAACCAGGTCAACTTTCTATAAAACCAATTATCGGTAAGATCTAATCAGCCCCAAGTTTAAACCTCCCTGGATTTATAGTCCTTACAGGCTAACAGTCACATCTGAGCTTTCTGTTGTCGCATGTCGAAAAAGCACACTTTTATGCATGTGTGTGGGCTCCTACACCAATAATGCAATGTACACGAAACCCCCTCACCCCACGCTCACCCCAGCCCATGCAAACCCCCTCCCCTTTCCAGGATCTCCCGCCTCCCTGCGCATGCACCCCGCCCCTCACCCTCGCCCAATTTCGGCTTCCAGGTTGGTACAGCCACCCTCCCAGGCCCAAAAATGGGGCACGGAGGGGTGAGGGGGGGGCTGTGTGCATTGCGCGATGACCAAAATGGGGCTCTTTGTGTTCCATGCATAAATAGGTTCACCATCACGGTTACAGGCCATATTTCCCATTATATATATTTTCCCATCCTGTTAATCATGATACTTTTAAACATACCTAGTCCTAGTCTTCCATCTCCTAATCTTAATACACCTGTATTTGTAATAAATTCTATTATATATATGTGTGTTTCTGTCTGTGCTACTATTTTCCCAATTAAAACTTTCTACTTACGGTATTTCTATTGTTTTACTACCTTACAAAATATTGTTTCTCTATCCGTCATCTCTCAGCCTGTCTAGAATTTCATCATTTATTTTTTGGCGAATTTTTTCCACATTTCTCTCTTGGAATCCTGTATGTCTAACATTTTTAAACAAGCTGATTATTCCGTGTCTTATCCTTTATCTCCTTCTGCAGCATCTTCTGAATATCCATCATCCTTTCTCTGTTTTTTCCCCCACCCTCTATTCTATTATAAAACTCTTAAGGGATTATCTATTTGATTTTTAGTATTTGCCATTGCTGTCTTTTCAGTATTTTTATCTGTTTTTAACTTAGTCTTATCTTTTTGTAGTTTATTTTACATTGTCCCCTCCACCACTCCTTTCTCAGCTGTCTTCTGTCTATCATATTCATCTTTCCCTACTTCCTTGAATGCCTTCTATTTTCACATCTTTATCTTTACATATTCCCATTAACTTATCGTTCTTTGTCACTATTTCTAACATTTCTTCATAAAACATTATTGTCTCCTGCTGAATCATTTTGTAACAAATTAATATCACTCGAATATTCCAGTATCCCAATATCAAAAAACTCCAAAAAATCAACCAATCACCAAGATTTGACCAATCCCAGTTATTTCTCCAAGTCTCCAAAATGTCTATAAATTTATGCTTTTCACTTTGCAATTTTCAATTTGTCCAGATTTTAAAATCTTTTATCTTTGCTTTTTTCCCCCCTTCCCCTTTCTGTCATTTTTTCTTCTTTTGCTTTGTAAGAATGATCTATCACGTAATGTTAATAACCCAAACTCAGTCCACCAAGTTTCTTCCAATCTTTCAAATCTGCTTTTCAGTGTATTGTTCCAGTAGTTATAGTGTTTAATTTAATTTGCCTTCTGAATCTTCAAGAAGCTCAGTAAATATTTCCTAGCATTCCAATTGCCTACTAAGATAAAGTCAAGGTCAGATAGTTTTTCAGATGTTATCTACTTTCTCTTCATTTCCTTTTGGATTTTGTACAATGCAGTAATATTCTTTCTCCAGTAGATGGTTTCCCTGCTACCAATTCCAACTTCCACAGAATATTTAAAAAAAACCAGAAACAGCTGATTGTCATCCAGTCGGGGGAGTTAGAGATAAAAGTTTAGAAAAGCAATTTCTCCCAATAGTCTTTCACATCGTTGTTTGGCTTTTCAAGGCTTTCTACGTTTTAAATCATCCTTTAGGTTTTCCTTTTACTTCTAAATCTTTAATCTTCCTCTTTAGTTTTTAGTCTTTAATTTTTCTCCATAAATCTAATTGATGCTTTTTTTAGAGTTTGGAGATTTTTGGAAGTTTAAGTCTCTAAGGTAACACTTGGAAATTTTCTCACCCAGTTTCACTGCTCCATCCACGCACCGCCTCCAGCACAAGATCTTAGTGTCCCGGTTGTCCCAGCTTATGACTGACCAAAAATGGCCGCCGTCCCTGTTGCTGTTCAGGAGAGCTTTCTTCGGATCAGCGAGGAAATTGCGTTTTCCTCACGATCGACGAAGCGACTCTCCTTTCTTCACCTCCCCTCCAAGGAGGCTTAACCCCATAGGGTCTCCCAGCAAGCATTTGCCGTGCTGCATTTCAGAGCCCGGCACAGCTCCGCTATTTTCCAGCCGTTCTCACCGCGATGTCAACCGGAAGTCAGGGTCTCCTGCTTGAGTACGTGGGGTGGACTAGAAGATCTCCTAGGTGCCTTCCAGCTCCATTCTGATTGACTTCCAAGCCCACCACACCTGATATTAGTGGAGGGAAAGTTGTGATAGTCTCCCCTTCTGAAAACTACACAATAAAAGAAGTTAGGACATGCCCAAGGTGGGTGGGAGGGAGAATCCGTCCTGCCTTGGAAAGAAGATAGGTAAGGAGGGAGAAGGGGCCTTCAAACAGCCCTACTTTTGGGCAGCACGGAAAGGAAGGGGAAGGGGGATGAGAGGGTATAAATGGGAAATAAAGGACAGGTAAGCCCTCGACTTAGTTCATTTTCTGGCCGTTCAGTTACAACGGCCTCAAAAAAGCGACTTACGGCCATTTTTCACACTTATGACCGCTGCAGCATCCCCACGGTCCCGTGATTTACTCTTAGATGCTTGGCAACTGGTTCATATTTATGATGGCCGCAATGTCTTGGGGTCCTGTGATCCCCATTTTGATGACCGAATTAAGGGGAAAGCCAGATTCATTTAATTAACCAGGTTGCTAATTTAACAACTGTAGTGATTCTCACTTAGCAGGAAAAGTTGTATACGGAGCTGAAACTCACTTAACAATTGTTATGGCTTAGCAACATAAATTCCGGGCTCTTTTGTGGTCGTAAAGTCGAGGGTTAAACTGTTCTTTTCCTTCGGGACAAAAATCTGCAAAATTTCTATTATACCCATCCGTTTTCTCTCCTGGGAACTTGAGTTTTGTTGTTTTTTTTTAAATTAATTAGCAGATTGCTCGGATGCTCCCCAAAAATGAATAATAAACCCTCGTTAACAGTTTGAAATGCTATTTTATTAGAAACCATGCAATCTTTAATAGATAATATTTATATATATAAAACAATCACGAGCGTAAGAATTCTCGGTAGGAAGATGCAAACCATGGGCTACTTTGGAAGAACCCCCGAAGGAGGATCCTGACTCTGGGTTGGTTGGAAAGAGAATAAGATTATTTTTTTTAAAATTATTTTTACACAGTTCCTCTCCAACACCTTCCAATGTAACACCGCCCCCCCCTCCCGCCTCCCCAGAAATACCCCCTTTCTTAGACTTCTCATCAAAGGTCGCTTTAAAACTTTTATTTACAACTCTGTTTAGTGTCGTTTGCAGTGTGGAAGACGGAACATGGGCGAGGGTCTCCCCATGAGACTCAAAGCCAGAGGGACTCCGGTTCCCATCCTGCACACTCCCAGCATTTTCAGACCTTCAAACACTTTCCCGTCACTTTCCCCAATTTCCTCGCAAACATTCCAGCATATTTCAGCGCGTCCCTTGGTGGTCGCAAAATCTCCGGAAGGGAGTCCCCCGTACGGTATGAAACTGCTCAGATCCCTGGTGTCGGATTCTTTGGAAACCACCTGAAAAGGCAATTTTCAAATGGAAACCCACACGGCATTTGTGCCGATTTTCAATGCCCATCTTGAAGGCTTTTGTCTGCAGCACGCTGGTGCTACATAGCCTATTTTCTCGTACACACACTCGTTCGCCTGTCAACTTTCGTCTCCACGATCCCTCCCGCCCCATGGGGGTGGGGTGGGGGGGCTTTGAGTCCCTTGGCTCCGTCGTTCTCCAAATATTTTGAAACACACACGCAAAAGAACCACCACACCAAAGAGAAAAAAAAAGAGAGAGAAAAAGAAAAACAAAAAAAAACAGAACACTGTTTAAAATGGCAGGATATGTGGATAACAAAGCCCAACAGCGCTGCAATAGCAGATCGATAATGGTGCGGGGTTTTTTTTTGTTTAATTCTCCTACGGCGAAGGGAAGGGCAATGCAGACGAGCGGGAAGGGAAGCGTGAGCCGGTGGGGGAAGCCACAGGGAACCACTGTTCGGCACAGCCACACCGCTCAGTTTGGATGCAGGGGAAGGACGAGAAAATTAAAAAAAAAAAAGATTACGGCATTGTTTGCAAGGTATGCTAATGAGCATGACGTTATGTGCGAGAGTAACGGGTCAGCGCTAAACAGGGTGCAGAGGAGATCCATGGGGGTGGGAGGAAGTCGGAAAGAGGAGGGAAGAAAGCTTGCCCCCTTTAACTCTCATTGGCCTTTGAACCCTTCCTCGGTGTCTCGAGCGGGGTTTCCGAAAACAATCCAATATTTCCAAAGGGCTCAAAGCCAAATTCGTATTTTGCACTTTGATCCTGGCATCCAAATAAGCAAGAATTGAAACGAGGTCTGGGAGGCACGGAGGTCAGCAAGACCCCCCTGCCCGTCCCATCCCATCCAAGACTTGCGCAAAGGATCAATGGACAAACCACTAACTGGAGCCCCACTGAAGCCCGTGGGCATGTGGGTGGCACCAGATTAAGGGAGGCAAGCTGAGGAACTGGGGGGATATTTGGGGTCTGGGGTTGGGTACAAGGGCAGGAAAGCAAGTCACAAGCCTGGCCGAGAGAGCGCGGCAGAGGTGTCTTCTGCGAGGGGAGCCCGCCAGGGCAGCCGCGGGGGCAAGGAGGACACGGCGGCGTTGGCGGCGGCAGCGGTGCCCGGGCTGTCGCTGAAAGAAGTGCTCAGTGGTGGGGAAGTGGAGGGACTGCCGGCGCAGACTGCGAAATCCGCCCCGTGGTCCGTGCGAGCCTTGGCGTTCTCACGGAAGGTCAGCTTGTGGGATTCAATCTGCAGCGACACATTGGGGGGACGGGGGGAAATGGGGGGAGAGACAAGGGACGGAAGGCGATACCAGAATGTCAGCATTAAAGGCCTGGAAAATAAAAGGCAATTGATTGCATTAACGACATTAGCATAAGACAACATCACCCGCCAACAACCATTCAGGGTTTATTTCTCTCCCTCCCCTCCAAGCCCTGGAAAACGAAAAGCAGAATCCAATGGCTCTCCCAGACCCGCTACCTCCTGTGGGGCCGCCAGTTTCCCTGGGCACTTACTTGTCTCTTGTATGTGAGTATCGAAGCACTGAATTTCCCTTTGATCACCATTGCCCTGCGCGGGCTCGAGCGGCCCTGCGCCATTCTCCTGCGGGGCACTGCTGCCTGATTGGGGCGCTCCGTTCTCTGGGGCGGCCTCCTTGCCCCCCTCAGTCTAGAAGGAAACAGTGGGGTGGGGAGGACAATGGAGGGTCACTGCACAGAGGGAAGGAGATGGGATGTAAGGGAGGACGGCCGGGAGGAAGAGGGCCCCGCCTCTCTCTGGAGGGAACACACCGCAGCCATCTCATTACGGCAAACCCACAGTGGCTGTTTTGCCATCTCTCCTAGGTCAACCCGCCTCAAGACAGCGCACCCCGGCCAAGTCGCCACGGGACAATTCTACCTGGGGTAACGTGACGTTATCCGCCGGTATTTATTTTGTCAGCCCTGGGTCCATCTTTGGCCAGACTCTACGGGGCTGTCAGAGTGGGAAGGGGAGAGCAGCGAAGGGAGTAAACCATAATTTCACATGAGATCAAGGTCTGGCTGATGGCACCTGGAGGGGAGTGAACGAAGTTTGGCGGCAGCTGAGACAGAGAACTGGTGGGACCATGTGATGATGGGACAGTCAGGGTGTGAGTTTTACTGTGTGCGTGTGGGGGAAACGCGGGATTTCCGATTCGGGTTTTCCGCAGATGTGCCAATATGATTTCTCTAATTAAACCTTGAGTTCTGGATTGCAATGAGGCGTTAGTTAGAACACTGACATCTTTTGACATTATGTTCATGGACAAAAAGGGAAATCGCGTTGAGGATAACAGCGGCAGATAATATTTATCGTGTTATTCCGCGTGGAATTGCGAGTTGGCCGTGATGAGCTAGGTTGGCCCCAGCGAAACGGCCACCTCCCAGCACGATGGCTCTAGTGAGTGGCGCTGTGGTTGGTTTGTCGTAGAAAGAGAGATTTCCACCCGACTGTTGACCGAGAAGATCATTTAGTTTGAAGGGCGAGACCGATCCCTTTCGCTCCAGTCTCGCCCAGGCTCATTTATCCTGCTCAGCTCCTCACCTCCTCTACCCCACACCCTTGGCCAAATATTATACCCTCCTGCAATCTTGGGCTCTGGGGTGGTTGTGAAGTGAAGACGTGAGAAGACGGTGGGCACAAGGGGAACGGTGGTGGAGGGATGACAGACACAGGCGACTGTTGAGAAGGATGCTGGGAGGGGACCTGTCCTGTCCATAACCCCCACCCCTCTGAAGACTTTTCTGAAGGATGACCAACCCAAGGCAGACACATGGGATGAGTTGAAGCTACCCGGGATGCAACTCTCCGACTATCGAAATGCCCGTGAGGGGACTTTTAGAGAGTTTAACTCTCTCCGTTTGCCGAAGAACCCGGCTGGTTTTTGTAGCAGTCATCAGTAGAGCTGAGGTGGCGCAGTGGTTAGAGTGCAGCACTGCAGGCCACTTCAGCTGACTGCTATCTGCAGTTCAGCGGTTCTAATCTCACCGGCTCAAGGTTGACTCGGCCTTCCATCCTTCTGAAGTGGGTGAAATGAGGACCCAGACTGTGGGGGGCGATATGCTGACTCTGTAAACCGCTTAGAGAGGGCTGAAAGCCCTATGAAGCGGTATATAAGTCTAACTGCTATTGCTATCAAGGATTGAAGACAACCTTAAGGTGATCCTCGATTTACAGCCACAATTGGGAGCAGAATTCTGTCCGCTAAACAACAGGGACATTAAGCGAGTCATCACATGACCGGACCCAGTTTTACAGCCATTTTTACTGGGGATGGTTAAATGAATCCCCTGCCTCGTTAACAGCCTAATCGTGGCTGTTAAATGAATCGCGTGGCCATTAAGGCAAATCTGTCTTCCCAGATTGACTTTGCTTAGAGGAAATCAGCTGGGAAGGTCACAAGTTGCATCCATCGTAAATCGACTTGGTAGCCAAGTCACCCACCAACTGCGATCAGTTGACTACGGGAGGGGTGGCTGCGACGGTTGTATTTATTATTTATTTATTAATAAAGTTTATAGGCCGCCCAATCCCGAAGGACTCCGGGATAACTTTGAGGATGGGGCCGTACGTCGCTTTTTCCAAGGCCGTCATCACTGCTGATCGATCGAGCAATTCGATTGATCGCTCGCCCATCTCGTAACAAAACGAAACCGTTATTAAACAAAGGTCTGAGGACCCAAATGTCCTTTAAAAAGAAAAAGAAAGAAGAGGAGTGGAATGGAAGGATTTATATGCTCCTTGCAGACAGCTGGTCATTTGCATTCTTTTAGGAAGGCGTTGAGGCCACTTGGAGGTTTTGTCGGTGAGGCCTTCTTGGCGTTGCCGAACAACCTGCAGAAAGCAACAGCTCCACAACAACGTCCGTTCAACAGTGCTGAGAAGGCTACACGCCCGTTTGCAATCCTCAGGTGACACCGAGGACGCCGGCGAACCTCCAAGCAGCCTCAACGCCTCTCTGAAAAGAATGCAAATGACCAGCAAGGAATATCGATCCTTTCGTTCCCCACCATCCATTCAGAAGCTGAAGAAGCTTCTCAGAGAAGGGAAAGGCCTTCAAAGAAAAACCAAGGAAGCCGAGTCGTCTCTGGCGAAAAAAAACCCACACACCTTCGGGGCAGTTATTAAATGCACGGTCGTAAGTCAAGGACTACCCCTTTAGGAGATGTTGCAGAGGTGTCCCTTCTCTTCTGGCGAGAGGGAACGGGAGTGGGAAAGAATCCTGCTCGTGCCCCACAGGATGGTGAGGCGGCAAGCGGAGATGGACCGTGCGGAAGGCTGCCTGCCGACTCTGCCTCCCTTCTACTCACATCAGGGCCGCCCGGAGGAAGGGAGGGTGTGAGCGGAGGAGGTGGGAGAACATCACACAAGGCCTCCTAAGTCATTAAGAGCGTGAGGAACCTCAAGGAGGGTGGGCTTCCTGCGTACCTTCACGGTGCCTCCAGCTGGCACGTGCCCGACGTTGTCCAGAGAGCCCACCTTAGCTTGAGCCTTCTCCTTAAAGTTCAACTTCTGGTTCTCGATCTTCACGTCTCCCCCGCCTGAAAGAAAAGAGCGGGACGTGATTTTCACCAGAGGTCCATCGTCCCGACCACAACAACTCGGGGACCAGCCTTGTTACCAACCGCTAACTCGGATCGCTTTGCTCGGGGCAGGGACGGTGGGTGAGGAGAATGGTGTGGTGGCCTAGAGGTGGAGCTCTCACCTCACAAATCAGGAGGCTGTGAGTTCGATCCTAGGTAGAAGGCAGATATTTCCCTCTCTGGGCACAAAGAGAATATATCTGCTGAACAAAAACTCCGCTCTGGGGACAGGAAGGGCATCAGGCCATTAAAACACTCTGCTGGCTCCATTGAGTTGCTCAGACTTCACCCCCGCAAAGGATTAAAAGAAGATGATAAGGGATGATGGGCGAGTGATCCGTGAAGAACCTCTGGAGGAAAGTCCCATCCCATCTTTAACATCTTCTCTAGGAGGGGGCCCAAGTAGGACATCCGCCAACGTTCGACTTGTTGAAGGAAATCACCAGACAAAGCCATCCAGCGTCCGCACGACCATATAATTAAGAGTACGACTTACATCGACCAGAATTTCCACCCTAAGTCATTACGGTCCCCAAGATCTGATTTGGTGACCCTTTTTACGATGGTCGTTAAGTGAATCACTGGCCATCCAGCAAATGCCAGGTTCCCAGGTGCGAAACCAGCAAAAAAAACAAACCCCAAAACGGTTGCAAATCATAAGTCCTACAATTGAGGGACACACTCCAATGCGAACCAATGGCCAAGGGCATGAATTGTGATCATGTGACTTGGGCAGGAAGTGGTCGTAAGTGCGAGAACTGATCGTAAATGCGAAGGCTCACTGGATCTCACCGAGTCCTCCTGATGCTACAGATTGGTTGTGATCCAACAGATGCAACCAATGGAGGTATCTAAGATGGGATCTGGCCATTTATTGAAGTGTCTTCTTCTAGGGCACATTAGCGTGGGTTGGGGTCTTGAAGGAAGGTCAGGTTCAAGAAATAGAGACCCTACTGCTACCTGTCTGCAACGGGACTCTTGAAAGGACAAGGTCATCACTTCTCCTAAGTCCTGCCTTGGTGGCTCTTCTGACACCTTCTCCAAGATCAGCCCTAAAGTCCTCTGAAGCTTCAACTTGTCCTTCTGAGGGATCATCTACCTCTGACCCAAGGCTGTGGAGCTGCAGATCTTCTGTCCAGCGGAGGTCCCTTGGACTCTCCTTTGCTCAAAGATCTCCTCCCAAGATCCTGTCCCTCTGGATTTACGCTCTTGGGAGATTAAAGTTGGAGGACCTCACCATGACCTGCTTAAAAGCTTTCCAGAAGACTCCTAGGCCCAATGTTGAAAGAGCGGGATTCTGGGTTGAATGCCCACAAAATTCTCCTCCGTGTCTCTCACCCAGCTTCCATGTTCACCACCCTAGGTTGATACTCAAGTGAAAGCCCAACCCATAAAGAAGTCCACCTCCCCTTGGTGACCACCTACTTCTGCTTCTCACCTGGCTTATGCTTGATGTTGGCCTTGGAACCGCACTTGGAAGACACCTTGGAAAGGTCAATTTTCTTGTTCTGGATCTGCACCTACGGAAGAGGAGAAGGAAAGAAAGGGACAACTGAGGGAGAAGGCGAGCCCAGGTCCTCCCTAAAGTTCTGCAGATGTTTGCAGGGGCCAAGAGTCCCAGATGTTCTCCCACCAGGTCCAAGCCAACGAAGCTGTCCTTCCAGGAACGTGCAAAGACCTCTTGAAGCACAGAAACGGGGTTGGTGAGAAGGACCATTCAAGAGACCTAAAACGTGAGCAGAGTTGGGAGATGACCCAGATAAGACCTATCCAATGAGGACGGGCTTGGCTAGCAAGGCCACCCATCCCAACAGCCTCCGATCTTTGGACCACAGTCTAGAAATCTCCGACTCCAGAATAGATGTGCTTAGAATATATTTCATGCGAGGGGGGAAGACCTCTGCATAATTTATTCCAAAGCAGTGGTGGGGTGGGATAAGGACAGGAGGAGGAGGAGGAGGAGAAGCTGGAGGAGAGAGAGGATAGGGCCAGATGTAGGACCTCTGGGGTTTTTTCGAGCTCTTAGAAGATAGGGGAAAGTGCTGAATCCTAAAGACTCCCACCCTCCACGAAGCCCTGGACCCCTCTGATTGGGCGCCAAGCCTTCTCCAATCTTCTCTAGATGTTTCAAGCTCCCTCAGGGACCAGCAAGAAACAGGAGGCACCAATCCCGGCTTCAATTAAAAAAATGTTTTATTTGGGACCGAGATATCTCCTCGCAGGACAAAAACAAAACAGGAATCTGGAAAAGAACAATAAGATCCACTGTTCCCGTTGCTACTAAACGCCCGAGAGATCATGTGTTTCCGACTTCAACACAATGCGACACAACACGAGCTCTCTCTGTGGGATGGACGGAGCAGAGGAATTCAGCACTCCTACCCTACCTTCTCAAGTCAATTGTCTTGGTCGCTCCGGGGGGTTTCATTGGACGCTGGAGAGGGTTCTCCAGGAGATCAAAGAGCCACGTTTGGGGTTGGGCTAAGATGGGGGGGGGGGGTTTTTTTAGCGCCCGCCTGTCTCAAAAGGGTGGACCCCCTATGCCCCATTCTTTGGGGCGGGCGCACATAGGTGAGTGGATTTGGAGAATCGGTAGAAGAGAGTATTTGAAGCTCAGGATTGAACCGTGGGGGTCCTTGGTGCTCTGTGAGCTTGGTGGCTTTTGAAGACGTCTCGTGACCCAACTAGAGAACGTTCTCAGTGCTAGAAAGCAGCTGTGTTTGTAGAAAGAAGGAGGAAGAGGAGGACTGTGGGAGTTCATAGTGCTCTCTGAGCTTGGTGGTTTTCTTGCAGAAGACGATTTACCGCCCAACTAGGGAACATTATCGGTGCTAAAAGGGATCGTATATGGAGCACAAACCCCCTTCCTTTCTAACGCTGATGATGTTCCCTAGTTGGGTCATGAAAGGTCTTCAAGAAAACCACCAAGCTCAGAGAACGCCAAGGACCTTGTGACTTGAAGAATCACCACGCGGGTGATAATGATTCTCCAAAGGTCAAACTCCCCTATTTTGGGAGAACCGGTGACCTTCTGATAGTGGGAGAACCTCAAAGTGAAGAAGCTGGGACAGCCATCGCTACCCCAAGATCGGAGAAGGTCCTACGACACCAGAGAAAGCTAGAAACGCCATCACGTTGAAGAACATAGAACAATAGGGACCTTGGAGGTCTTCCAGTCCAACCCCTTGCTCACGCAGGAGACTCTATACCATTCCAGATAAATGGTTTTCTTGAAAACCTCCAGTGATGGAGCACCCACAACTTCTGGATACAAATTGTTCCACTGATTTAATTGTTCCCACTTCCAGGAAATTCCTCCTTAATTCCAGGTTGCTCCTCACCTGGATTAGTTTCTAGTTACTTATGCTACCCTCAGTGCTTTGGAGAATAGGTTGACCCCCTTCTTCTCTGCAACCACCCCTCAAGTACTGGAAGATGCTACCACGTCACTCCTAGTCCTTCTCATCGCTAGACAAGTTTCCACAACCATCCATCATCTGCTTCAGCCTCCAGTCCCCTGATCATCCTTCTTGCTCTTTAGCAAAGTGGCTTGTCTCTCCTCACCGACCCTCTCCATCCCTCAGCAGATCATGAGATCTCCAACAGTCAAACTCTCATATTTTGGGAGAAGGGGGCGATCTGTGGGTAACAGGAGAACCTCAGAGATAGATGACGTTGGAAGACCCATCATCTCCGCCAAGAGTTCAGTTGGCAGGATGATGAAGGTCCTAGACCTAGAAGGTCCTATGACACTGGAAAAAGACAGTAACTCCATAACATCAAAAGTCACTTGGCCAAGAACATCCTATGGCCGAAGGTACAAAGTCCGCAACATCAAAAGTCACTTGGCCAAGGAGGTCTTGTGACAGTGGGAGAAGGTAGAAACTCCATAACATCAAACGTCACTTGACCAAGGAGGTCTTGTGACACTGGGAGAAGGTAGAAACTCCATAACATCAAACGTCACTTGGCCAAGGAGGTCCTGTGACACTGGGAGGAGGTAGAAACTCCATAACATCAAACGTCACTTGACCAAGGAGGTCCTGTGACACTGGGAGGAGGTAGAAACTCCATAACATCAAACGTCACTTGACCAAGGAGGTCCTGTGACACTGGGAG